GGTACTGGTGATTGAACCCAGGGCTAAGCCACATTCTAGCCCTTTTTATATTTTATTTTGAGACAAGGTCTCATTAAATTGCTTTGAGCCTTGCTAAATTGCTGAGGAGTCACTGGGATTACAGATATGCACCACCACACCCGGTTATGAGAAGTGCTTTCATCTTGAGCAACAGAAGGAAGGAGATGTTGAGTAATTCTAGTCTTTGTTATAAAACTTAGAGTTAGTGTATGTTGCTGGGGTGGTGGCTCATACCTGTAATCCCAGTGACTTGCAAGGCTTAGGCAGAGGATTGTAATTTCAGGCCAGCCTCAGCAATTTAGCAAACCCATTGCCTTAGCAACTTAGCTAGACCCTGTCTCAAAATTTATCAAAAAATGTTTAAAATGGCTGGGAATGTAGCTCATTGGTAGAACATCCCAGCATTTAATCCCAAGTACCAAAACAATAAAAGAAAAAGAAAGAAATAGTTATGTATATTAAAATTTAAAGGTAAATGCTAAATTGAAATTCAAAATTATATATTCATTTTATCTTATTGCATGTGAAATGAATTTGCAAAAAATTTCTAGAATTAAAAAATAATATAAACTTGTATTTCCTTATATATTACTCAGGGCTCCTAGGTACAAGTCATATAAACTCTGGCTAATTTGAGCTAAATATAGATTTTTTGGAAAGATATTAGGTGTCCTACAAGAATAACAGAAAGGCTGGAGAACTAAGTTCATAAAAGACAGGAATCAAGAGAGGACAGACAGAAGGAAAACACCTAAGGTCACACTAAGGTGCTGTCCAAGTAGGTTTTTGGGGGGTTCTTGTGTCTGTTCCCATCACCAGACATTTCTCAAGGATGCACTCACCACCATGTACCACTTCCACTCAGTGATAGGCTACTGGTCCCATTTAACTGTTTTGACTTTGTGGATCGGCTAATGTCCATTTCATGATTTAAGTTAAATGGTCATCTGATGAATCATGGTCAAGTTTTCCACCATTGTCAGGTATTTAGTATCTAAAATGGCCCAGAGTTTGGTGAGAGCTATTTTTTAAAGGAGTATTGCTCTACCTTAAAAGGGTAAATTCAGCTGAGCATGATGGTGCACACCTGTAATCCTAGCAACTAGGGAGCCTGAGGCATAAGGATTAAAAGTTTGAGGCCAACATCAACAATTTAGTGAGATCCAGTCTGAAAGTAAAAACTTTAAAAAAGGAGGAGGAGGAGGAGGACGACGACGATGACAACAACAACAACAACTAGAGGTGTAGAGGTATAAGGGTTTTGGTATGGGGTTCACTCCCCAGTGCCAAAAATTCTTTTTTAAAAAGGGTAAATTTTATGGTATGTAAACTATGCCTTAATAAAGATATTATTTTTAAGGGCAACTGAGTTGTTTAATATTTTACTATGGTCTCATTTTTCTTCTTTATTGAAGTTTCTATTTTCTCTAGAATTGATAATTGCTTTGATTTCTTGTTTGCTTAATTTTTATGAGCCTCTCATTAACTTCAAAATCTCTTCTTCCAGAGTTTAAATATCCTCAGTACAGTCACATACATCACATATTTTAATTTTCTTAGTACTGTAGTACTGTTTCCATTTGAGTTCTGGTTCACTGATTTGTTTGTTATGTATAGGAAATGTCTTTAACCTTATTTCTTTCTTTAACTGTTTTTGCTATTTTTCATAACAGAGGGGAACTCAATTATCTGTCTTGCTATATTCTTTCACCCTCTCCCGCTGCATCCTCCCTCCACTTGATTTTTGGATGGATTTATTCAGATTAAGAAGGTTATTATGAATATCTGTTAAAATTTAGCAAATGTTTTTCTTTTTCCACTGAAAGGATACTATGATTTTTCTCCTTACTTTGCTAATACTTTACACACTGATTTCCCATGGTTGAATCAATTTTGCCTTCCTGGAATAAACCTAGCTTGGTCACTTAATCATTTGTATGCTAAAATTTGGTTTAGAATTTTTATGTATGCATTTATAAGAGGCATTGACCTAAGTGAATTGGAAGTTTTCCGTCTTCTTTTTTCTGGAGAGTTTATGTAAGGGTGAAATTATTTACACCTTAAATGCTTAGTAGAATCTCAGGAAGTCATCTGATACTGGAGGTTTCTTTTAACATTTTAAATTATAAATTTAATTTAAGAAATGGTCAAATTTCTCCCCATTTGTATGTTTTTCTAAACTGGGTTTTGTAAGTTTTTTGTGGGTTTTTTGAATTTTCTTCAGTCTGTGTATCTTTGCAAATTTATCAATTGTGTTTTTTATTATAAACATACACTTATTATTTTTAATGTCTTTGAAATTGCCCCTTAAATTCCTAATATTGGTAATTCATGCCTTCTCTCATCTTCCTTCATATTTCATCAAGGACTTATCAATTTTATTAGTCTTTTGAAAAACCATCTTTTTTATATTCTAATTTATTTATTTCTGTTCTTATCTTTGGTGATTGCTTTGTTTCCTTTCTTCTATGTTCTTCTATGAGTTTAAATGCTGTTAATAGATACTAGGATTATTAAAGTCAATCTTTCTTTTTTAATGTATGCATTTAAGGTTATTTTTTTCTCTTTGTAGCATTACCTGAATCCTACAAATTTTGACATTTGATATTTTTATTAACATTAACTTAAAAATACAATCTGATTTCCATTGTGATTCCTTCTTTAGCTCAAAAGTAAATTAAAAGGTTATTGCATAATTTCAAATATTTGGGGATTACCTATTTCACTTCCACTGTTATCAGCTATCTTAGCTCAGGCTGCCTTAACAAAATACCATAGACTAGGTGGCTTAACCAACAGCATTTTATTTTTTGTTTGCCTGGAAAATCCAAGATCAAAGTCAGGCAGGGTTTAATTATTGGCGAGGACTCTTCCTGGCCTTCAGATATCCAGTTTCTCACCTTCTTGCTGTCTGGTAGAGAGTGCAAACTCTTTGATGTGTCTTTTTATATAGGCACTAATGTCCTCATGAAGGTCCTGAACTCATAACTCTAACCCTAGTTATTTCCCAAAGGCCCCATCTGCACACAGCCCACTGGGAGACAGAGCTTCAACATGTGACTTTTGGGGAGACATAAACCTTTAGTCTATAACATACGTTTTGTATTATTTTAATTTTTTGATTAACTTGTTTCTTTGTGCTTATAATTTATAACTTTATTTAGGATTTAGGGTATATGTTCACATGAAAATTTTTTCTATATATTTATCAGATTTTGTGCTCAGGTTTGGCTAATTTCACAATATGCATTAAAATATTTTAATCTTCTACTTTGGAAAATTTAAGGTATTTGGGGAATTCACTTGTTCCTTGAAACTTTGTAGAGATTTGTTCACAAGAGGAGCAGGGTCCAGACCCCTTCTTGAATGGGACTGCTGTAGTTTCCTAGAAAGTTATCTATTTCATCAATATTTTCAAATATATTCTTAAATTTGTGTTCTTATTAATATTTGTCTTCTTGATATGGGAAGAGCTTGGCAAAACATTTTAAAGCTTTCAAATTTTCCAATTATATTTCTGTTCATTATCTTGCATCTAACAGCTCATACTTCATACATATTTAGACTTTTTATTCAATTTCTGTACTTTAATAATCATTGTATCTTCATTACAAAAATTTCCATATAAATAAAAATTTTCCTCTTTGTCTTATTGTAATTTCATTTTCCCATTATATATACAAATAAAACATTTATTATAGAAAATTAGAAATGATTAGAACAAAATCACTTTTCAATAAACACTAATTTTTTTTAAGAAAACTGATTTTTTTCTCCAGGAATGAATGCTCATTATAATAAAATTCAGGAAAAAATATAGTAAGGATGAAAAGAAAATAACAATCTTATCACTTATCACTGTTAACATTTAGATGTACAAATATGCAGAATTTTCTGCATACATTTATTACTGCATAAAATATAGGATTATTTTTATAAGCCATTTTATGATCATCTTTTCTAATAAAAACACCATGAAAGCATCTGCATGTCAGTTGTCCACTTTATTACTTTAATGGCTTCTAGAATTGTACTCTGTGCATGAACAAGTATTTATTTTGTACTTTCTGCATTCACAAGTATTTATTTTGTCCTTCATTGCTAAATATTTAGATAATTTTTCATTTTGTGAATTTTTATTTTATTTTTTTGTCTTTGCTACTACAAACTACTCTGGAGCCACCATCCTTTTATGTACATTTTAAGCAATTTAAAATTTACCTCATGATGTATATCTACAGTAATTAGTTTCATTTTCACTAAAAATTAAATTTTCACAAATTAAAATGAATATAACACGTAATTTTTTTAACCCATCACTTGGACAGAGATGTTTTAAATAGTATTATCTGGCTTGGCTCTCTCACATGCTTCTGCTGGGTGTAAATTGGGAGAATCTTCCTTGAAGGCAACTTGGAAATATGTATTAAAAGCAACTGCCCTGGTTTTTCATTTTTACAGATGTTTCATGAGAAAACCTGATTTTTCCAAGATCTTATTGCAAAGGAATCACATTATATTTATGTTGTAAATCCACTCCTAACATAAAGGAATTTTCTTAGGGATATTCCAAATAATGAATCCAGGTGCCCTGAAGATTTCCTGAAGTGTGTTTTTGAGCATTTAAAATTTCTTTTGACACCTATATAAATCATCATTGCCTTGGGACTCTACTCAAAACCAAACCAAGATTTTATTTTTGATAGATGGTGGTAAGGCAGGATGGGAACAACTCTGCTTCTTTTCACTAGACCTTTCCAAACGAGTAAGATCTTAAAACACTTCCCTGACATATCTTCCTTTCAGTACTACATTTCTGTATTTTAATTGCATACATTGATGGAGATGCTGTTGCTGTGGAATTTTTATACAGTGTATAAAACCCAGAAGTGCAGAGAAGAACTTAAAATTGTTCATGTAGACTGTTGCACTTTGTCTCATTGGACAATTCAACTTTCCCCACTTGGCTTTTTGTGTAGGTGGCACATGGGCTCCTGGGGTCCCTGCTCAGCAACCTGTGGTGTTGGAATCCAGACCCGGGAAGTGTACTGCCTGCACCCAGAAGAGTCCCCTGCACCTGCTGAGGAATGCAGGGATGAAAAGCCCCATGCCCTACAAGCATGCAATCAATTCGATTGCCCTCCTGGCTGGCATATTGAAGATTGGCAGCAGGTACAGCAGATTGGTGACCCCATGACCTGCCATGCTTATGACAGTGAGGAGCCCTGCATTGCTGTACTCTAGAGTGAGCTGAGCCCACTGCCTTACCTCCTCTTGTCTTCTTAGTGTTCCAGGACATGTGGTGGGGGAACTCAGAACCGAAGAGTCACCTGTCGGCAGCTATTAACAGATGGCAGTTTTTTGAATCTCTCTGATGAATTGTGCCAAGGACCCAAGGCATCGTCTCATAAATCCTGTGCCAGAATAGACTGCCCCCCACATTTGGCTGCAGGAGACTGGTCAAAGGTAAGGACTATTCTCAACTTTACAGTTTCTTCTTTTCTGTTCCTCCTTTGTTTCAGCCTCTTAATAATTCCTCCACAGGATCAGACCAGGACTGCTATGAGATGAGTAGGGTGTGTAGGGTGCAAATTTAAGAAGACACTCTCACTCTTGGGGTCATGACTGGATGAGGATTCAGGCCTGATCTCAATTAATCATTTTTAGTTTTTACACCGTATTATTTAAACTCTTCTCATAATTTTTTCTCCCAAATGAATCCCTTCTTTGGGAGGTACTAGCATCATAGTATCCCAGGATAAACTCAAAATCAGTTTGGTTCCTTTCTTCCTTGTGTTCCCTCTTAGAATTATTCATTAAACCCTGTCATTTCAACTTTCTGAACATCTTTATACATTTATATCCTCTACAATCTGTTGCTATTATGGTTAATTTTGCCCTTCATCATTTCAAGGTTGGATTATTGCTGTAAATTGAATTCTAGCACGTTGTCTTGTGTGGACAGGAATCAACACAATCTGGTAATGATGCTTTAATTTTTAGGTGGGAATATTAAAGCCCTAGAACTTTAAATAAGATGTCCAAGCTCATACAGATGACAATGTAGGAGCAGAATCCATTCCTGACTTTATTCCAAGGGTTCTTTCTGTTATGAAACTGTTCACTTGATCTACTTGTCTCCATATTACTCTCCCATCTCCAGGCTATCTGATAAACCGTAGTATCTCCATCACTGTTTTCATCAAATCAACTGTTTGTGCAGAATCTTCCAGGGTCTTATTACTTGCAGAATCAAGTTCCCCAGAGTCTCCCAGGGACTTTCTTGGTCTGATGGTCTTCTTATTGCAATCTTTTATTCTTATTCCAGCTCTTTATCCTTATTCTAGACTTTTGCTCCAGTCTTGCTGTATCTTTAAAATATATAGATCTACAGGCTGAGGTTCTTAGCAAAGATTCAGAAACAGATAATTCTCATAAGTTGTGTTGTCAGTATTTTGGAACCTCCAGTCACTACCATAAACTGTCTTCTGAGGGTAGAGAGCCAATCTCAACATCAGAAATCACCTTAAGAAATTAGATAGGGCAAGCCAGGCATGGTGGCAGTTTCCTGTCATTCCAGCAATTTAGGAAGCCAAGGCAGAAGGATCACAATTTCAAGGTCAGCTTCAGCAACTTAGCAAGGCCCTAAACAACTTAGTGAGACACTATCTCTAAATAAAAAAAATTTTAAAAAGGTTGGGGATGTATCTCAGTGGTAAAGCACACATGTGAATGAACTAGTGTGTTCACGTGCTAGTTCAGTGCCAGATGTAGTCACACCTGCCACCCTCATCTAGAAGCAGATATTGTCTCCATTTCCATAGATGAGAAAACACAGATTCATTAAGATTAAGTAACTTGTCTAACAATGGAGCTAGGATTCAAACCCAAGTTTGTGTGACCAAAATTTAGTAAGAAGGGTGTATACTTTGATCTTTCATGCAAGAGCAAGGCCTTTTGAGCCAAACAGACCAATGCTGGATCCTAACTCTAGAGCCTATAAGCTGCTTGTCCTTGTTCAATATACTTAGCCTCTCTAAGCTCCAATTTTCTTTCCTCTAAAAGTTTTGGTTAGTGAGGATAATATGAGATATTTGATAGGGAAACATCTAGCAGAGGAGGGCTTTCCCTTTTTCCTTAAGGGAAAGTCCATAATTCTGGCAGTAGGTTAGATTGATAATACATGTTCTCCAGCTTTGGAGTTTTAACTGGTAGCTCAATTAAGTACCAATATTTTAAAACTGTCTTAAGAAAAAAAATCACAGGTCATAGTCCTATTCCTCATGAAGCTCACTGAAAGTCTACATAAATGTCCCCCTAAATACTCAAAAAGTATTCAGGAAAAGAATTGAATACCTCTCTTCAGGGTCTGCAGAGGAGGAGTTGACCTTGATCCAGCCATTATGCCCTACTCCCTCTATCTAGCTCACAGGAGAGGAAACGATGCTCTCATCTCAACCTGTCACACTAAAAGTCAGTGACACAAGGGACAGGAGAACTGTCTTCTCCAACATTCAGGTCCTAAAGCAAGAGGTATGGCTATTCTAGGTGAGACAACCTCCCTAAAATAGGCTGTGGAAGAATGGATAGAAATTAGCCCTGTTGAGTTCTGTGTGCAAAAGTTGATTTGCTTTATTTCCCTCCAACTCACAGCTCCCTCCACCCCGCCCCACTGCTGCCTCTCTCTCTGACACTGGAGATCAAACCCAAGGGCTTTTTGCCTCTTGAGCTACATCATCCATCTTTTTTATTTGTAGTTTTTAATCTTGAGACAGGGTCTCACTGAGTTGCTGAGGCTGCCCTGAACTCATGATTCTCCTGCCTTGGCCTCCCAAATTGCTGGGATTAGAGGTATGTGCTATCTCACCTGGCCCCCATCCTACTTTCTCACAGAAAAAATAGAGACCACAGAACAGAAGTGTTCATTTGAGTATCCCTTTGAGACTGGGTACTAGGCAAAGTTACCTGGTTAATGGGTAGGCAGTGTATGTCCCAGTCACCAAGCTAAACTCAAAGAGTGAACTTTTACTATGTCCCATTGTCACAGGTAGTGCAGATTCCAGTTCCTGTCCCCGTAAAGAAAGCAGAAAGGAAAGGGTCATGTCTTTGTGGAGAGACTCTTGTTGTTATGAATGCTTTATCTGCTTGCTGCGCTGAGTGTGGCACAGGGACTAAGTGGACATCAACTGGGAGATTGCGAGAAGGGAGGAATCTCTAATCCCACCCGACCTCAGCAATGACAGTCAGCTTTTCAGTAAGATCCCCAGGTGTTTAATGCATGTTACAGTTTGAGAAGCATTTTTCACTCACTCCTCATGCTTGTTTGAGTTACTCAGCTTTAAAATATGTCCAAGGTAGGACTGACTTCAGGCAATGAGCTCTTGGAGCAAGTGCTCCTAACCCAAGTGGGACGAGGCAAGGAAACAGAGGACCTGGGGGCTAGGGAAAGAAGCCAGGCACCTTGTTTATAGGCCCAGCCTAGAACTAGTGCTATACTCTAAAATACCCCACTGATTCTTTCTTTTCTGTAAGAATAAGTAGGTCTTCACAGTGCCCTGTCTTATGAAACAAACTCTTCTCACTGGCCTTTGAGAGTAGAGACAGGTGGTGACATTATTGATTCCCTTTCCTGTCCATTCTCTCAGCAAATAATTGGACCTGCATTTGCCAGTTCTATGTCATTAAAGTGACACCATTGTACTCATGCTTATCTTTGTGTCTTTCCTCTTTTTGGGGACCCCAAATCCCAGCTCAGGCTCTGAGCTACCCACCTCTGTGAAGTCTTCCACTCTCTAAAATCATGCAGCGTTCCCTCCCCACCTTAAACTCACAATGACCCTACTTTTTATTGTATTTCAGTGAGTCACTACTTCCTGAGCAACCATATGGTCTTCCTATCTGGCCTATAATGTCCTTGAGGCCAGTGGCCATGAGATCACTGACAGGTCCTTGGGCCCTACAGAGCTCTGAGCAAGAAAATGTATCCCTCAAGTGGTTTTGAAAAAAATCAGGGAAAATGCAAAGTGGTGTTGAAGTGGTGATTTTTAGAAATACTTGGGTCTGCTAACACAGGAGAGAAAATCAATCACTGGAAAGGTTTTTTTTTTCTGGGAGAAACAAAGGAAAGAAAAAAAGAGGAGGTTACCCACCTGATGTGCATTGAACCTGATGCAGTCAGCTACTCAAGGCAAAGGGCAAGCTCTCCTATGCCAGAAGGTCGGCCCATGCATTTAAGACCCCTCTCTCAAAGCCAAGATCACATCTTCAGGAAGCCACTATCAGGAAGAAATAGGAAGCGCACACATTTCACAGGAAGGTAGGACAAACCTTGGGACACTGAAAGACAGTGTTCAGATGCAGGTACAGTCAGACACACAGCCTGTGGCATGGCAGTCTGGGTTTCCTACGGGGTTCAGCATTTTCCCCGTTAGTTGAAATTTCCTCTCATTTTGGAGTTGCTTTGCTTTGGCAGAGACTCTGGCACCAAATTGCCACCTTTCTCTAAAGCTTCGTGCCAAACTAACCCTTGTGCCATGGGATGGCTCACTTGGGGGCAGCCATCTGTTCTGTGGTTCTGGATAAAGCCCTTCCACATTGAAACTGGCCACTAACCCTGGACGTGAAGTGAGTGAGAAGCCACACCGCAATTTCCATTCTTCATCATGCTGGGTCTGCTGGCCTGTAACTGGAATAGTCCTGTCTCCCCACACTAGCTCTATTCATGGTGTGTGTGAGCTCTGCCCATTCATTGGCTCATTAGTTTGCCTTAGTTCCTTAGATCTGGACTGGGCAATTGGCAAAAAGGAGCCTTCATTCTTATACAGCCTTTCAAGTTGTAAGAAAGAAGCATTGACTCATAAATGGCAATCCTCCTAAATGGTAGGTTTCTGTGATCCATATACCCCCGTAACCTGTTTGATGCCCTCACACCTTGACTAAAATCCAGTAACCTTCTCTCATTTTTTATTTTCTGTACGTTGATGGACATTTGACATTTTGTCTATATTTGTCTTTTTCTTTCATGATGTTTCCAGGTGTTTTTTTCCCTGCATATTTGATTACATCTTTTCTGTTAATTTGTCTTCTTCCAAATTTCCAAAAAAACTTGATATTTGACCCTTCAATTTTCATGGCTACATTTTTACTCTCTAGTTGATTCTGTGTCCCTACCTCTACTATGACTTTTATAGGTAACTCTTGTTCTCTAGAAGCAAACTCTAGCCTATCCAATACCATATCTCCAGCTTTCCATGTTGAATATATCCCCATCATTGGAAAACCAAGGGACAATCTCTTTATCCCATCCCAACCAACTCCCTACCTTATTTCCTGTCTCTGCCAGTATATCATCATCTTGCCAATACCTGCAATCACATCTGACTTTTCCACTTCCTGTGTTTAGTGACCTATCTGAAGTCCTCTTAATTCTTGAAATGCATCCATATTTTAAGTAAAAAAGGAAATAT